TAGAATAAGAAGTGATATTCTCAATGCTTCTTTTTTTAAAATTAATGTATATAAATATGTGTATATAATTTTATATATAATCCATACAGTTTTTATATAAATATATTTACATGTACATGATGGAGAAAAAAAAATTTGCTCCAATTTGCTCCAATTATTACATCATACATAAAAAATTGGCGCCTACACATGACTCCTCGATAGGAGAATTCTTTTCTCGCAAATAAAATTCCGCGATAACAATTTACATAAACAATATACATTTTGCGCTGCCATTATTAGACTTACTTGTTGTTGTCAGAAATTCTTCATTTCTTATTCATCGTTCAAGACCGTCAAATCATCCATTCGTCGTGCCGCGATGTCGCATCGCGTTCGTAGTTCCCGTGCTCCGTACGCGCCCTTTACAGGTGTATACGCAGGCGTATAAACAAAGCATCGCGCAGCCAATCACAATCGCGGGTGGTAGAGGGTGCTCCGATCGATGCGGTGGCGGCTGGTGGCGGCAGCGCCGGCGACAGCCGAGCTGAGCGCGTTCACGTCGCCGACGGTCGACGTTGGTTTGATTTCGCGCGATTCGTTCGGCGTGGTCGGTGTTTCAGTGGTACCCGCTGACGATTGGCCGATCCAGGAACCAGGCCGACCCGGCGGGCAGGGGTGCGTGCGTACGTTCGTGCGTACGTATAGTACGTGTATATTCGCGCACCTATCCATTTGTCGACTGTCACTCGCTCGTCCGCTCGGGGCTATTTTCCCCTTGACGCGTCGCAAACGTTCACCGTCTATATTTCACCCACTTCTCGCAGCCATCGAATGCGTCGTGACAGCGTGCCGCTCATTGCGCTTTTTTGTTTACCCACCCAATGGTTGGCGACGCTCAAGATCGCGATATTCGCGATATGAACGCGAGGCGCACAGCCGGCGGTGGCAGCTGTTACAGGAACCGAGTCGGAATCGGGACCGAGATTGAGACACTGCGGACATCGCGCAGACATCGAGTGCTAATTGTGAGTAGCCAGCTTCCTCTTCGTTCCTATTGCAAACTCTGCTCTGACAAAAAGGCAGTCAGATCTGTCCGATGTCTTCGACCGGAATCGCTCTCTCGGTTTCATGGCGCAAGCTGTCAGGGTTGCGCCGCTCGAGGGTTGCATCGAGGTCGGTGTACTGCGCGGCACGCTCGATACTTTATTTTCACCGTTTTTCCTTCACGCGCGAAGAGAAATCAACTCCCGGGAACTCCCACGAGGCGAACTCGATCTACTCTGCGAGTAAACTTTAATTGTTGATATCTGTTCTTATTTTGAGAGTCCTAAGTAATGTCTTAAGATGCTAATACAGCCCTGTGACTGGTATTCTCATGTAAGTTGATATTTATAGTCGATTCTCGTATTTAAGACTGTCTTAAGATATTATAAGCCAATGTTCACAAAGAAGGCTGTATTAGCATCTTAAGACGGTCTTAAAATAAGAACCGACTATGAACCGCCCATACTCTGTTCTTATTTCAGAACCATCTTAAATAATGCCTTAAAATGTTAATACTGCTTAGTGTCTAAACTGTAAGTGTAAGCTGGTTGATTGATATCTTATTCTTAAGACTGTATATTTAAGATGATCTTAAATATAAGAATCGATTAGAACACCGTCACAATAATCTGTCACAATAATCTATTCTTATTTCAGGATCATTTTATTAATAATATCTTAAGATATATAAGATAGATAGATAAGATATATTTTATTATAATATCTTAAGATGCTAATACATCTCTACAGCTAATATTCATAAGCCATTCTTATTTCAAGAATGTAGTCTTAGATAATATCTTAAGATGTTAATACAATCTTTTAATTGATTTATGACATCTTAGACTGCATTTAAAACAGTCTTAAATACAAGAATCGACTACGGATGCCTGTGATTTGTGACATTTTAAATCTGTATTTAAAACGACCTTAAATATAATAACTAAATTCCGGTCTGATTAATATATTTTAAGATTGTACTTAAGATGATCTGAAATATAAGGACCGACTATGAATATCCCCCACCCTTTCCGGTCATTGAATACACTCGCAAGGTAGGTCGACTATGAATACCGGTCAATGAATCGTTGAGGGTAGTTCCGGAAAGGTTGGAGGATTTCGTGGAATGAATTGCAGGTTTACTTTCAGTGAAACAGACGATAGCAGCTTGAGAAATCTATTTATACCTTCTGACTCAAGTTAGTAGTTACATAAACTTAAGATACTTTTCATTTATGCCTGTTTCTACCAATGTAGATTAAGTGTAATCTCGGTTTAATTAATTCTTTAATTCTTAGAAAATGATAAAAAGTAAGTTATGCATCAAAATTAAAATTAATTTACATTTATGTTGATACATTAAAGTTAATCTACATTGGAAATGAACATTAGTGACTTACATATATTATTCTATCTTTCTTTACATTAATGACCAACAAAGACAAAGCGATATTTGTGTCGACTTATATCAAATGAAAAGTCAACTCTGTTATGCTTGTTTTGAACTTTAGGAATTTTCGGATAATAAACAGATACGAATTCATAATGCCGTGTGCCTAATTCTTAACTAACATTTAATTAACGTTTCAATGTTCCTCTTCTTCATTTCGATATTCCAGTTTTACGATTATTTACGAGGCAATTACGAGGAAGTTCTTCATCAATTTCTAATTAAAGAGTTTGTGGAAATCCTGGGTTTTTATTTACAACGCCATAATTAGTTCCTTTTCATTTTCACTATTTCCAACAACATATTTTCACAGACATGTAAAGCTTCTCTTAAATTCATCATTCCGTTTTTCTACACTTTTGTTAAATTTAACTTGTTTTCTCATTTCTTGTTGCTTTGCGTGTTAAGCATACAATTAACTTTTTTTATCGATTGTGCTTCTTCTAATTTAGATCTAATTTAAGATCCGCAATCCGATTCACGCTCACAATACTTCAGAGAATCATTTCATTCTCGTTCATCAAATATTAAAGAGCAAATAATGCTCACGAGCATTGTGAACATGAATCAAACCGCGGCCTAGATTTAATCAGTCCGTATATTTACTTTATAAACCGCGAATTTTCTTAAATTTTTATATTTAATAAAACGCTGACCTTCTATTCACGTAATTACTTCGCATTACAAACAATAAATTATAATCATTAGAATATTAATAAAACATTTCTTTTAATAATATTAACAATGAGAATCATATTAGAAAAGCATTTTTACAATGAATAATATAGAAACTTCCACTGATTTATACGTTATTTGATATTTTAGTAGTTAGCATGTGTTTCCTACTGGACTAGTACATAAAAAAAATAAAAGCAATAAAAATAATTTAAAAATTTATATTTTTTTAGCTGTTAGTTTTCTAAAAAAAAATATTTATAGAAAACGATATTTATTTTAACTGTCAGCTAAAGGATTAGCATGCTAGTTGTTAATAAATAATGTGACATTAAACGAACAATTACGAATGAAATTAAACAAATAATTTCGCATAATTTTTCTTATTCTAATCCTTACTCTAAAGAATTTAGAAGGAAAAAGTGAAGTTCATTCCAAAGAATTTACACAGTTTGTTATGTCAATATAGGTATATAGGAAAATTATAAGTGGAATTGTCCGAATTAAGAAAAAGTATACAAGGTATTCTATTTCTCACATTATTTTTTAACGACGAAGTTTTTGATAAATCTGGAATTTTTATTTAGTGAAAATTTAATTAAAATGTTGCCAGTCTTTTTTTACGAAAGCTTTTTGATTTCTTACATAATATATCTTCTTAAAAGCTCTAAATTAAAATTTTATTAAACTAAACTAAGATTAACTAAATAATTAACTAAATAATTAACTAAATAATTTTCATTTATTTGTTTCCTTGAGTTTCATTCGCGAAAAGATGTTTTTTTCATATGCTTGTAACACGAAAATCTACTACAATATGTCTGCTAAAAAAAAATCTCTAGATGAATTAAAGAATCTGTTATTAAAAATTTATTTGCAGAAAGTAGGACACTCGTAATTCCTT